ATTTACATACAAGAAATTAATAGTTCGACCAGTTTGATATTTTTCCCTGAAATTGATCTTAAAATTCTCCTTAGCCGTGACTCTTTCCCATCTTTCCTTTAATATCGTTGTTCTTCTCACATAGCCAAAAAACTTGAACTGAACAATGATTGTGCCCTTACGGGTTGCAATGGTGAGGCCAACTTTTGGCAGTTCAGCCAAATTATTGCCGCGGGTCACTAAGTGACCCGCGGATCATAGGTTGCCGACCACTGGTTTAAGTCAATGATTTGAGCCTTCACCATTTTTTATATAAAATTAAAACTACAGTAAATAAAATTTAAAATATTGTAGATGTTAGAAAAACACTTAGGTTCAAGAAAGCAGTTGACCTCCTGATCAATATGGTGGGAGTGGTTGATCACCACTTGCTGATGGTCAGTAATCAAAACATTGTTGACTGAAAAATTGTCACTGTCGAAAGAATCACTGTAATGATATAACTGAGTAGTGAGAACTATACAGAGCATGCTGTCCTGTTTGTTTTGTTTGTTTTTAATTAAGCACAAAGCTACACAATGGGCTATCTGTGCTCTGCCCACCACGGGTATCGAAACCCGGATTCTATCGTTGTATGTCCGCAGACATACCGCTGTGACACTGGGGGCGCTGTCCTGTATTCACTAACTTCTCAATTTTGCACCTGAGAAGTCTGTTGATGCAATGAGCAGGAAGGGGGTTATGTTCAATCCTGGCTGGTTAAAATCTCTTTGTGTGTCCAAATCTCGCTAGTGTTTATTTACTTTGTGGTACCTGAGATAAAAACGAGTTGCATTTGACAGTTCCTGGAAAGTATTATATACTGCACCTGTTGTTTTCATTAATACTGGAAAGAGAATGTTTCAATTTTGAATTTGAAATATTCATCAGGTAGGAAGTTTCATGGAAAAGATGAAAATAGCAAAAGACTCATACTACATCTGAGAGAGAGAGAGAGAGAGATAGAACACAGTGTTACCTGGTGTTTTTCATTAAGAGTAGAACAAAAGATATTTCAATTGGATCAAGTCGAAATATTTATAAGTAGATGAAATTATCAGTAGTAAATAAAATTCACAGACAATAGGTCCCCCAGTGGAACAGTGATAAGTCTTCGGATTTACAATGCTAAAACCAAGGGTTCGATTCCTCTCGGTGGACACGGCAGATAGCCGATGTGGCTTTGCTATAAGAAATAAACACAGGCAGTAGCTTAGATATCATAAAAACATGAATTTGGTATACCCAGTTTCATGTTGTTGGGATAGAATATTTTCAGTCGTGTAGATTGAAATATTTTCATTAAACCCATACGAAATAAATTTCTTAATATTGTTTCAATGCAAGTTACAGTATTAAAACATGAAAATACAGGCTGTAAGTGTACTAAGGAGAGGTTGAAAGTAACAATCTCTTGATGAAGATTTTGTAAATCGTGCTAAAAACTAATACTAGACTTGTAACTAAAAGAAAGTTCCTAAAAAAGACAATGGAATCATTGGCGGAGATTAACCATCAAAAGTAGTGGTTGTCATTGCCTATTCTGAGTCTTGTGTTTAAGAACCTGTTGCAGTCTCGATCCCCATTCCTTCCTACTGGAATCGTGTGCTTTCTTCATAACAAGCGGAGAGTAAAAAGAAGAATGACGTTGGGTTGTAGAGTAAGTCGTGCTTATTTGTTGTCTGGCAGGAACAACAAAGGACGACATGGCTACAGGCAGTTGGTCAATTGAGACCAAATGAAACCTGTAGATTGGGAAGTCCTGAAATTCTTGTACATTCTATAGACGATATATATAATCCTATGGAAATGTCATATAACTATATATATAATACCAGGCTTCATACTTCATGGTCGTAACAAATGTTACAGCCTATCTTAACCTATGTACTTGGCTTAACCTTTGCCAAATTAGAATTAATTTAACCTTCATTTGAATCTGGATTTTCAGTATTTAAGGTCGAGTGTTAGTCATGTTCATTATCTCTACTTAACTTCTGGTGATTCTCCCCTTTTCTCATAAGTCCATATAGACAAAACCTTTGTTGTACTGCATCATTGATCCTCCATTGTCTTTCAAAGCTCCAGATTACATCTCAGATGTCCAAGACTTTCTTTTAAGTGAGGTTGCTGATTACACTGTAGAATATGAGACCATACAAGTGTCACTGGTCCAGAAGATCTAAATGATCTTATGACAACCTTCGGAAGAATGTTCTGGATGTTATAAAGATGATTTAACATCCACAGAGTTTCAGAAAATCAGGTTTCTCGGCAACTCTTTTTTGTTGTTGTTCCAACTGATTTGGGGTACCTAAGATATTGGTTCCATTTCTTGTCCAACATTTAACCATACCTTCTTAAAAGGGCCAGAGGAAGAAAGGGACTATAGCTAGCTGACCAACCTAAGTTCGCAACGTTGAGCTTGACTATATGTCATTGTTAGTTTATTTTCGTTTTTAAATAAGGTGCATAGTTAATGGGGAGGTATTCACCTCTTCTCTACAACCTTATTTTGTATGTATAAATTAGTAATTATTGTTCACAGAGCAAATGTTTGTGGCTTGTAGCACTTAGATTAATTTATATTGTGTAATTATTAAGTGCCGTTTTCTTTTTTTTTGCATAATAACATGACTATGATTATTGTTAGTTTCACTGGTGGTAGAACTTCGCTCAGGGTTGTGACAGTTTTTTTAAACTGAACATAGTGTTTGTTTATTCGTTTATTGTTAAGCATAATGCTACGCATTGGAATATCCGTGCTGTACCCACCAAGGGTATTGAAATCATGTTTTTAATTTTAGCGTTATAAGCCTTCAGACAAGCTGAACCACTAGGGAGCGCATAACTTTTGTCCTCGCAAAGTTCTCCAATCAGTTGTTTAATGTGGTTTTGGTTTTAACGATAAAACTATTTTAGCCTCGTAACTTGGCTAAGATTCTACGAAAACAGGAAACCATGTCATTTGGTGTTTCAAGGTAAGCCCACCCTTGAGAATAATACAATTTTAAACCCAACTCATAAATTCTCATCTTAAGTTAAACTCCTTTCATTTGTAAACAGTAAAGTGCTGGCCTCCGTAACTGTCCGGGAGGAAGTAATCATCTATATATTATAATTTTACACTGTTTGTAAAGACAAAATCGATGCTGAATTTATAAAAAATAGACATGTCTGTGAGAACAAAAGAAGCTTGTTTTAGATGTATATGGTGTTTTGAAATGTTTTTTACTCACACAGTAATCCTATATTTATATAGGAATTTAAAGAATATGCAGAAGTGATGCTACTGTCTGATTATTCATGTGAATTATTCAGACGGAATATCTGTTTAAAATATTAAAAACTACTGTGCGAGTAAAAGACATTTTAAAACACCATATAATATATATACACTCTACCATGATATGAAGCCTAGACTTATTCTTTCAATTAGCCATTATTCAGGGTTACTGATGAGGGGGGTGGAATTCCCCAAAGATCTGTATAATTGGTGACTAATGTTGGAATGTGTGTTCTAATGACTATTCATTGGACATGATTATGAAGGATGCTGTAAAGTGTGTTCTATAAGCTATTCATTGGACATGAGTATGAAGGATGTTGACATGATTATGAAGGATGTTATAAAGTGTGTTCTATAAGCTTTTTGTTGGACCTGATTAAGAAGGATGTTTTAAAATGTGTTCTATTAGCTATTCATTGGACATGATTAAGAAGGATGTTTTAAAATGTGTTCTATTAGCTATTCATTGGACATGATTATGAAGGATGTTATAAAGTGTGTTCTATAAGCTTTTTGTTGGACCTGATTAAGAAGGATGTTTTAAAATGTGTTCTATTAGCTATTCATTGGACATGATTATGAAGGATGTTATAAAGTATGTTCTATTAGCTATTCATTGGACATGATTAAGAAGGATGTTTTAAAATGTGTTCTATTAGCTATTCATTGGACATGATTAT